TTTTAATGTTCCAGTAGATTCTACGAGTCTCGAAGACGTGTACTGTGTATTTCATCTTCGTTCCCTGACGCTGTGGTGATTGATATGGTGGTAATGTAACTAAATGTATTGCGGGTAAAACGCAATTTGCTGCCAGGTATGTAGCTACCCTGACGAGGGGTGAGCGAGCTCGTACGGACGTTCATATGCCTGTAGTACCTCTGTTCGATCGAAGTGATTCATGTATAGTTAACTTGGGGCTGATCTAAGATCTCGTGGCTCTCAAGCTTTGGTATCAGAAGTCCGAAACCAGGAAAATGTTAACACATTTATGTCTCGAAGGGCCTGAAGCCATGTTCCGCGGATAGAGCACCAGAGCGTCCCGAACTGGGTACCGGGCGTCTCCCAAATAGTCCTGCTTAGCTACTATTGGCACTTGAGCTCGTTCCTTTGCACCACGGCTCCTGAGAGGCTGATATCAAGCAGCCGATTTGCGCGTCGTAGTGTTTAGCCGAGAAGGGAAGGAATTGCTACTGACACTGGGGCATTTATCATGGCCTCGTTTGAGTGATGCTACTTGCAGTTGTAGATGAGGGTTGAAACGTGTAGAAACGTGATATCAAACATTCGGAAGACAAACTTGTCTATGGATGTCGAGAGGTTGGCTAATTGACCATGAACGAAAACAGCACACTTGATAGTCTAGGCATAGCATGCCAAAAAGTCTCCTTCAGATATGTCGGTCGCAGCTCTGCGGAATCTGTCTGGCCAAGATTACCAAAGAGGAACGTCGTGGTTTGACCATATCCAGCAGAGAAGCCACCAAATATCCCCAAGGTGGATGCTTTTTTCCAGTCCGCCAAGGCTGCGTTAGAACCGCGAAAGAGTTCCCTGTGCAAACGCAAGCACTCGCTTGCTCGAATCTCAGTTTCTCCCTCTCTCTCTCTCTCGGGTGCCTGCCATCCGTCGATCGAGATCCTGTACTGAAAGTATTGTCATCAGAGAGTGATCGTTCGAAAGCCTTGTAACTTGCGAGGCCATGGCTCCACACCGTGTGAAGCTACTTGGTCCCGTGACAGATTGATGGTCAAACATGGCTATCGCTTTCCGAAATCATATATGGCGAGACATCGCGTGCCATTGTAAAATTAGCCAAGGCCGGAACTTTCCTGTGGCTGGCTGAAATCGTCTCTGTGTCTTACATCTAGAGGGGGTGTTTGAGTGCGAGGTACGCACGCCACCGGGCCGTCCGTGTAGAGAAACGAGACATGATTCCCGGGAATCTGGTCGAGTGGTGGACTAGCTTCCGCCAGGGGCACACCAAAATGACTTGTAAGACATGTTCCAGCCGCGCCGCCCTCGCTTAGCCCTCTGGAGTGTATTCCAGCCCGAATGATCCTGCGGATAAGATGCCTGCATAGTCTCCACCGTGCGATTTCGTGCAAGGCTTTGCTGGCCGAGAACTCTGTTTTCGCTGTCAGTACAAGCAACCCTAACCCTGAGTCGTATGACGAAAAAGGTGGATGCAGAGGGGTGAACAATGAATCTCGAGGCTCTTCCACGGCAAAGTCTCAACTCGATTACCTGTATGGTCGGAGATATTCCCTTTTGTTCTCTACAGTTCCAGCACTTTTAGTTCAAGACTGAAGACCTGTCAAGACCGTAACTGGATTGGCGAGCCTGGTAATGCCTTGGGCTGGCTGAGCGCGGATCTGGGCCGTCCCGAATCTTCTTGCTTCTCCACACGCTGCGCAGATGGCATGGAATGTATGTGGCCATGACAACTCGATAGTTCCCCGAGGGTTCTTCAAGTATTGGCCGAGCGTCATTCCTCGGATTGTTAGGGTCCGGCAGGTCGGGTCGCGGAACGGCAGGAAGGTTTCGCAAGACTCGGATGGCTGACCTAGTCAGCAGGGTGCTCCGGCTCCCTCAGCTGGCTTGAGACGGTTGACAGCCTGATGGTAATTAGCAGGTCTCTCTCTCTGGAATGTTCGCCCTAGAGTTGTGTTCCCTGATAGCTTCCTAGAGCTGCCCACCATCATGTTTGGTCTCGGGGATGCTGTAGGCGCAGAAGCTCGGTAGTAGGTATGGGTCTACTTTTCGTCATATTCTCGATTCGCTTTTGTCGAAGGATAGAATGAGGTTTTGTCGAACAGTGAACAAGAATTTGACGTTTCGATAGGAATGACAAACAATGACTGGAGATCAATTGGGATCGGCAAACGTTCCCTGGCAACCTGACGAGAGGCATTCAAGGGAGGAGGTCAGAAAGGGCTAACGGCGATGGGGTAGATCGATGGGGAGGGAGAGACATTGTGGCTGCTTGTCTCTTCTTTCCGCCTGTTTGCAGCTGCACAAACGTCCCGTCGGTGCTAGATAGGCGTCGATGTGATTCAGTTCGTATATACGTGCGGGTATGCTTCCCGGTCGATACAGATAGATCCAGAGACACGCGTGTAGCAATATCAGACATGTCTCAACTGTCAGCACCGTCAGCTGTCTCTCTATAAACCTGTTGCTTATTTGGAACCTGATTGGAGACTCGGGAGCTGATGAGACGGGATCAAGGAACGAAGCAGGACCTTCTTGCCGGGCTTTTGTTGTACAAGACTTGAGGAATGTTTGACTGACCATTGAAGTATGTCGGTGTCCACCAACATTCGAAGGCTTCTGCTCGAACTACGCTGACCAAGATTCGTGCAGGACGGAAGCTCGCCTTGGAAAGGGGCCTTGACGCGTTTGAATACCAACGTCATGTTGATGTCAGGGATAGGTCGAGTTGGAAACAACACCACACTCCACTCCAGACGATACCAGGAGACGAAAACAACACTAGGAATAATTGAATAATGACCATTCTGCTACCAGAAAAGGACAGGCGAAATCGGGAGCGTACAATGGGCTGCCTGCACATTGGAGAAAAGCTTGAAAATAATACTTGTCACGAGCCGAGCACCAAGGTTTGTTTCTCGTCGCATGAACCGATAGAAAGAAGCAGCACCACGAGCTCAGCGCAGTCGACTTTCCGTTCCCAGCCAGCATATTGACCTGCTCCTACCTTAGAGCTGTCGTACTATTACCAGCTTTCCCATTCCTCGGTAGTCCTTGCTCTCCCGCCTTCCTCCACGGCCGTTCGTCTGTTTCGTTCTTGATCCGGCGCGCCTCAAACGTTCGTACTTTCCACAACGACACGCCATTCAGCCGGTTCGGGAAAGCCTCAATGTACATCTTACCTTTGCGCAGCACGGGAAGGACGGGCTGGAAAATCGGACAAAGTCAGGTACGCAGAAGCGTCGCCGTTTTCGGTCAGCACGCCGTGTCCTAACCACTCTCCCCTCACGCCCCCTTCCCACGTTCCTGTCCTGCCGTCATCTTTTCTGGTACACCGTCTGACCTCCGCATTCGTATCTCCTCTTCCTCCCATTCTTACTCTCATCTCTGTCTCGGGCTCCCCAGGTTTTCCTACAGTCGACACCCTCACCGTGTTCAGTTTGACTGTACGAAGCCGCACAGTCCCTGGATCAGCGCGACGCATGTCAGATCGCCGGCTTGTCCCGGAATATCAGTCTGTATACGGTCAACGGCATATGCAAAACCCATCCATGGATGGAGGCGCTGACGGCCGCATGACTCTGAGACCATGTGACATTTTCCGAACCGCCTCACACAAGCCCTCAAACCAAACCAGAGAATTGGGAATGATGGACTAGGACAGCAGTTTATATCACACCCCGTTGTGTTTACGGTCAGGGCATACTGCATCTCGACCTTTTCGAACTCGGCGATCCAGGCAGGGCTTGGACGGACGTACCTTGATGCTTCCGGATGGACAGTCGCCCTGCAAGATTGCTGCACGTCAGGATGTAACCCAAAGGTCTATCCGAGCATCTCAAGGCCAGACGAACTTGCAGCGTCCACGCCCCCTGACCCGCCCATCGTCTCTGTTTGTGAATAGGGACATTTCCCCCTCTTTTTCTCCTTCGGTGGTCCCGGACCGTCACCGCTGGCTGTCGCTTGGTATCTTCCGCCTCCTCTAAGGTATAGGTACTTGCCAGTGAAAACGATCAGATCCATCACTTCTCTTTCGGTTCCCCCTCCCTGCCCCTCCTCCATGTCGGTGTGCGCAACCGCAATATCCCACTCCCTATGCCTCTGCATCCTACTACTTCCATACCTTCTCCGCTCCTCTCTCGCTACTTCCCCTGTCGTCTTGGACATTGCACACCGTATATTTCACTCCTCACATCGCCAAGATCAGCCCCCTTTTCTCCGGATCAAGCAGAGCCACTGAACACCATGATCTATGAATACTAGTGCTGGGCCCTCGCCAAATCAGGCCATCTCCTCCAGCCCGCTCCGTACCGTCAGATAGGGTGTCTCGATCGAACTCAACTCTAGCCTCTTTCTCATTTTGAACCTCGCTAGCCAGCCGCTTGGCCCATCGTCACCGCCGCCATCCCTCCCGAGTGTCCCAGGAGCCTGGTGGTCGGCCGACGGGCGCTCTACTACCTACGAAGCCTTCTCTAGCCTGTTTTTTGCCTTTGTCTTGACAGCGCTCGGCAAGCCACTCCCTTCTCTTCCGTTGAAATCTACCTAGGACAACGGGTGTGGGCTGCTGAAAATTAGCATTCATCACATCACAGGTCCAACGCCATGAACGCTTGTACAGAGCCTAGGCGTCTGAGCATCGAGTACTCATCCCTCTTTGCAAGTATAATTTTGCAACGCTGCGCCAATAGTCTGCTTGGTACTTCTCAGCCCCCCCTGGCCCTCCATCTATCTCCTCTTCTCCACGCAAACGAAGGCCATGCGCTTAGCTACCAGGAGTGTCTTTATGTCGATCCAACTATGTGTTTGCGGACTCCATATCCTCCAGGACAAGAGGTGTTCTCTTTTCGCAGTCCGTCAGAGTGCGAGGTACAAGAGTCCCGCAGGGGTCGCGGGCCAGAAAGTGTATGAATTTCACGTAACAAGGAGGGACATGACACCGACGAGCCCACCTCATCTCTCTTGCCGGCGGCTTATCTCCCTTCAGCTGGCTTGTTCACCGTGCCCCGTCTACCCCTCGGCCCCATCAACGGCCGGTGCCTACTGTTAGAAGGCAGGCAGGCAACTCCTTTCTCCGCCAACCGGCCTACTGGCCGCCCGGGCAAGGAACTTGGATCTTGAGCCAAGGCACCTATCTGGGCTACGAGGCATTCAGGGACCTCATCAATGGTGGTATGTTCCCTGTCTTGCGTTAGTACATTGGGTCGCCGCGCACTCTCTCCGCCTCCTCCTCCGCCCAATGTCGCGCAAGCCCGACGGCCCAAAATCCCTAGCGTTGCTGCAAAGAATCGGCATCATGTACTCTTGGGGCTCGCCGTTGGGAAGAGGCTGCAAAAGCTGCAAAAGCTGCAAAGGCTCGGACACACACTTACACGCTTACCAACGGACGCAAAGACACTTGGAGTCTGACATCTCATTGCTGCGCTCCGACCTCGCCTGGCCTGCATCTATCAAGCACAGACTTCATGTGAGTAATTAGCTGCCATACAAACCCCAGACAACGCCTAGTCCATGGGTACCGCCGTAAGCGGCCGTCTGCTCTCTTGACCGGTTCGAATCCTGCCTGCCCTATGTACCGTCCCTTCTCGGCGACGATGCAACGAGGCAGACGCGTGAGTGTACGTGTGTTATGCACGCTCGCGGCCTCCGCTTGGTTTGTCTCGTCGTCACGAGTGAATTTTCCATATTCCTTCAACCTCGTCGAGTCATCTTCCGATTCTGGCTCTCTTTTGGCGTCGTGGTTTGGATGCCTATGTCAAGGATGGCGTGTGTATTGTATTGTGTGTGACTCGAGTGTACCTGGTCGGTTCCTCGGACCACAGTGCTCGATATTGGCGAACGGCATTCTCCTTGCCCCTCCCCTGCCTGAGAGACAGGCGTGTATACACCACCCCCTTTGGCTCTCGCTCGCGCGCAGGTTTGTGTAACCAGGATCAACCCAATCCAAGGTCCCCATGAGCGTTGATTGCGGAGAGGGGCCAACCGAAGCCCGGACACCAATCATGGGCTCATCCCTTCCCCTTCTCTCTTTCTCTCGTTCGTTTTGGCCCGCCGCCGCGCGGGGGGAAAAAAAAAAGGCAGGCGACTCGTCGAGTAAGAGGAGAGAACTGAGGTGAAGCGGCGAGGAGAGAGAGAGAGAGCACAAGAGAGGAGACCCGGGACTAGCGCCAAGGGTCCCCGAAAGCTCTTCCCTCTCGACAAATGGATTGGCGGCAACGAGGGGCCTGTCAAAGAGGAACTCGAAGTTTCTCTCTCGTCCACTCGTCCACCTCGTCCACTGGCCCCCGAAATGTAACTAGCTTGAACCCGGTTCGCCTCGAACGGCGCCTGTTCTTCTTCTGCTTCTCTCCTCTGGACTGGCAGGCTGGCTGGCTGCCCCTCCCTTCCTCCCCTCTTCGCCTCCTCCCGCACCGCACACGCCATACAAACCACCCATACAGACACCAGTGACCAGACACGGGAGACATATCGATAGAGACGCCATGTGGGAACGAACAATCGTGTCTTTCAGGTTTAGTGGACCCCCCAGAGTAAAATTTGAACATTGCAGATCTGGAGAAAAAAAAAAAGTCCTTGGCTTCTATTGTGCTGTTGTATTGAAGCTCTCGTTTCCTCCCCCTCAAGTTCCGTCCTTGTTGGAAAATTGTTTTCTTCCCTCGTGATTCTCCCTGACGGGCTACTCTTTGTTCTTCTTCCTTTGTTCCTGAGGGGAGAAGGGGGGCGCAGATGGGGGGGCCCGAGGGGGCAGTTTAGGTTGGTTGGTTAGGATCCATCCCCCTTTGTGTTGGTTCGTTTTCCCAAGTACCGAAAGACACCAGCCCAGGCGCAGACGTAAAGAACAAAGAACAAGAAGAAGAAACCATGGAAAACAACAAGCGAAGATGTCTTTAGTTTGCTTGTTATTTCTGGACTTTTTAGTATCAACTAGGACTCTTTTTTTTTTTTTTTTTTTTTTTTTTGGGTACTTGTCCGCGGTGACGTTGACTCTTTTCTCCTTCTCTGCCGGACGCTTGAGCTTTGAGGGATGATACCAAGCCGCCATACTCAAAAACTCACGACCAAGCTCTTGGAAAACAGTATTGCTCATAAAAATAGCTGACGAGGAGAAAGAGAGCCAGCACAATGAAGAAAATGGAAACGAAAGAAAGACCGGCATACCATGGACCAAGCTACCTTACTCAGAACCTCAAACTAAGAGGAATGAACAATTTCACACCTCACACACACCGGCAGTTCTATCACTTGTACTCTGGCCCCCCCATCTGGCAAATGCCTTTCCGGAACCCGGAAAGTCCCCAACAGCGTCGCCGCCAGTTCACTATACACTTTTGGACCACCGACAAACCCGTTCGTTACGTGCCGTGCCATTGCCGCCGGCCGCCGCGTCCCGTGAAGTGGAAACCTACTTTGACCACTGAACACTTACGTTTGGTTTTATCCCTTCCCGCAATAACAAAAAAAAAAAAAAAACCTAAGGAACGCGCCCCCGCCGCCCCGCCCCCCCGGCCCCCCCCCCCCCCCCCCCCCCCCCCCCGCCCCGCGGGGTGGGGGCGGGCGCGGCCGCGGGGCGCCGGGGCCGCCGCGGACGGGCGGCGACGCGGGCGCGGCCCGCGCGGCTCGGGGCCGCAGTACCGCCCCCCCCCCCCCCTCTCCCCATGCTTGATGCCGCTGTTCCCCGTGTGCCTGGGGTTCTGCGGAGTAGGAGGATAGACTGAGGCTTGGTTGTAGGAAAGGACGCAGGCAAAGGCAGGCTCGGTCCCCGAGTTAGACAGCATCGGCGGTCCGGCCCCAGGACTCTTTTTGTATGCGTACAGCAAACAACATATTTTCCTTTTTCCTTTCTTTTTCTTTTTCTTCTCTTACTCACGAGTCTAAGTGAGGGGGTCCATTGGAGGTCAAAGTGGAAGTGGAAGAGGGGGGGAAAGTACCGTACCGCAAAGGTAAACTCGGCGGCGGCACCGGCGGCCGCGGCAACAAGCGGTGGTGGCTCCTCATCTTCTTTCCCTCTTCCCCCGTTCCCATTTTCCCCTTACCCTTCTCTTCTCCCCTCCCTGCTTTAGGTAGGTAGGTTCCCGTCACCAATCATAAAAAAAAACATCAGTGCTGAAAAAAACAAAGCTTCCCCCCATTCCCCCCCCCCCCCCTCCCTTCCCCTCCACCAAGCGCGCGAACGCACGTTTATCGATATCAGAAGAAGCTTTGATCTGATATTAAAGGACGGGGAAACTACTGGTCTCGACTTCCTTATTATGTCCTGCTAAAGCGGAAGATCTGTCCGTGCTTCTCTCCCTTCAAAGCATTAGTCGCCTCTGCGGCCTTTCCTTTCCCTTACCTTTAGCCCTTTTCAACCGTCGGATCAATATGACGTGTCACATATAGATGGGGGGTGGGACACACATTATTTTTATGTTCCCTCGGGATTACGGACTTGGAGACAGGCGAGTAACGACAGCAAAAGAGTCAAAAACATCTTCAGCAAACAACGTTGAAGCTTTGGCACAAAACTTATTCTTCCTTGCTTTGTTCTTTTTGGCTTGTAAGACCTCTGACAAGCGAGAAATAGGAAATAACCACAGACAATGGTGACAATAGTGGCAATGCTACGCTTGGCTTCTTAAAAGTGTGTTTTTCTGTTTCATTACTTTCTTTCCAAACCGCACACCACACCTTGTCGGGTTGTGTGGGTGTGTTGCTATGTGAGAGAGAGAAAACATGACAATCATGAGTAGAGAGAATCGTTGGAATGAAGTAGTAGTAGAAAAAAATAACCTCGGAATTTTTTGTAGCCCTCGCGGTGCTGCCAACTTCTGACTTCTGCAGAACGAAAAACACAACATGACATGACGGGGGGTTGGGAGGGAAAACAATAAAACGCATCCGATTCATGTGGGATGTAGATAAAAATGATAAGGTTATTGTGTGATATCTTTGCCGCCCGGTTCCTTTGCATCGCTTGCGCGATTTCGCCTTCGTAATACTCTCTCAACGTTTGGGATACTAGTAAAGATAAGATAAAATGAAAAAAAAAAAGGTACGCAGCGGTTTTGACATGAAAAATGTAACACTCCAGCATGTGTGGCGTGTCGGACAATGGGTACTAAAATGAGTAAAAAGGCAGGACAGAAAATCAAAAACAGACGTGTGCCGTGAGGCAGACCAATCTTAACCCTTTCCGTTCCTTTGGGAAATGACTGTGTACGAAAAGAAAAGGTGTAGAACAAAGCAAATAAGAATGCAAGGACCAGTTTCCCGGATCTCGGGAAACCCGCGTATGTGGTATGCTCAAGCAAAAAACCTCCCACCATTTCCCAACCTCAGCCAGCCCCCAGCAAACACCAAAAAATCGAAAATCAAGACGATGCTGACCGTGGAATTTATTTTTTTGGCTGATCCTGGAAGCCGTTCCCGCCAATTCCCCCCTCCATCATGGAAACTCACTTGCTACAGAAGCTCATGCCTGCCTGCCTATGCCTGTCAAAGACCGATATGCGTTTCCCATGAACTTTGTAATGTATGCAACCTGAGTTAAATCGCATGGATCTCTTGCCGTCGTTGCCGCTTTCGCCGGCATCGCTCGCAATAGTCGAGGTGGAAGCGTAGTCTCCAAGGCTGTCGTGTTGAGAGATTTTCCAAAGCGAAGAGAGTACCTGGCCAGCAGATCCATTCCTATTTGCGTCGGACTGAGGCGGTCGATATCCGCGGAATAATTAGGTTCCCCTGAAGACGAAGGGTCACGCTCTCTCCCCCTCCATGCGCCTCATCTCCTCACTTTCTCACTGGAGGACGGTTCAGCCTTCCCAGCATGTTCCTGTCAATGTCATTTGGAGTCGTGTCCACCAAATTATTCAGGCTCATAACCGAGCTCGAGGATGCTGCTGGTGTGGAGGAATTGCTTTGTCGCTGGGTCGCTGCCGCGGCTCGCTCGTCTCCCGTCTGCGGGTGAGGTACTGCCGCCGGCTGTCCAGGGCTATGTCTAGCCGGAGGCGCTCTTGGGTCATATCCGGGATGACCGCCTTGCGAGTAGCCCATGTAGCCTCCCGGGCTGCTGTGATTCGAGCTCGAGGCTGGCGAGCGACGTCGAGGATCGTCTGCAGAGTTCGGATCGGGTGGCGGAGGTCGGAGCTCGTCAACTTCATCGTCCCTCGGCCGCCGCCTTCCACGCTGCGCATCGTAGGGCGAGTAGCCGCCCGTTGGAGAAGGGAGTGGTTGTTGGTAGTAACCGCCGTTGCCAGGCTGAGGGGGATAACCCTGGGGACCTGGTGGCGGAGGCAGCGAACCCGGAGGTAGAGGCTGCCCGTAAGCCCCATAGAGCGGCGTTCCCGGTGGAACACCTCCCTGGATGGCCGACACGGGCACAAATGCAGTCGAGCTAGACGAAGATACGGGCTGGAATATGCACTCCTGGTTCATCCTGCTGCAGTTTACGCATTTGCCGCCAGGCGCACTCTGATAGCCGCTGCACCGAATCTGAAGCATTCCAAATTAGTCTCAAAGAGTTCCTTTGTCGCATCGCTTTGGGGGAGAAGTACCTTTCTCTTTCTGCAGTACCTGCAAGCTATAGAGGTTCGTTGTCTTGGGGCAGCTTGCTGCATGGGAGGGCCTCCTTGACCGTAGTCGTATCTCGGTGCGCCTGGTGGGTAGTCGTATCGTGGACCACCAGGGCCAGGTGGAGGGTAGTCGGCGTAGCGACCCGGAGGAGGCGGGCCTTGACGGTTGTGATACTCTTGATAGTAGGGGTCGCCATACTGCGGCGGAGGCTGGCGATTTCTGTAGTAGTCGTCCCTTCCATCTGGCGGGGGAGGATAAGTGGGAGATCTGGGGTCACCCGGGGGTTGCAACGGCGGCAGTTGCGGCGCATGACCACCCGGTTGCGGCGGCGGGTAGCCGTTAACGGAATTCGGGGAGGCGCTGTAATTGCTGGCGCGCGGATCGGCGCGCGGGTCACCCCGTGGATCGCCAGGGTAGGACCTCGGGTAGGCTGGTTGGCCGTAGGCGCCGTGGGGATCCTGAATGGAGGGAAGTGTTACTGGTGCGGCCATGTTGGGTCTATGATGTCTGTCGTCGTGGTATCTTGGGTCTTCGGGTGCTCCCACGGGAGGAAGTTGGTGTCGACCTTCGTCTTCTCGGTGTGTAGAAGGCGGCCCTCGTCCTTGCTCCTCTGCCATGCTCTGGTTGCGGCGAGTCCACCCGGATGCCGCGACTGAACCTGCACTCTCGTCGCCGCGCGATGCTATCGTGTTGGCGAGCAGTGGGTGTCGTGGAGTGGTGTTTGTAGTTAGTGGTGTGGTTGAAAGGGGCCCTTGAGGCGAGATGCGATAATGGCCTGCGCGTCAGGTTGGCCTATCTGTTGAACCCTGCTATCAAATAATTCCGACCAAGCACGGGAAGGGCAAGAATCATGACCAAGCGGGCTGTGGCGGATAGAAGAGGGCGCGACCAGCCAAGTCGGTTGACTCGAGAAGCGCACGCGCACACAGAATGGTGGCGGTGGTGGGGGGATTTTTGGAGTCGAGTACAGATAGCGGGTGTCGTATAAGCCGTCGGAGAGCGCGGGCGCAAGAGTAAGCAGCGGCAGCTCGGTGCGTGAAAGGTAAGTACGGTGAGATTCGACAACGGGGCGGTACGGATGTTGGACCGCGTGGCTGGAATGATTAATTTTAAAAGTGGCGGCGGATTTGGCAATGATCCGACTCTCACAAAGATGATAGCCGAACAAACGTGAGTGAATGCGTCTTTGAGTAGTGTCGCTGTTGTCGAGGAATGAAAGTGAGGTCAGGTTGGGATCATCAAACCGAGTAAGTCAGGTACTACTAAGTAGGAGACAATCCCGGAGTGTCGGCGACTTGTGTTTTGCCGGTGAGAGACAACAGTTGCAGGAGCAGCAGCAACGGCAGCAAGCAATTGATTGTGCAGACGGTGAAGCTTCTTAGGATGAAGGTGTCGATGGTGACGAGGACGATGTTGCGGTCCCTGTTTTCCCTCTTCTTCTTCTTCTTCTTCCTCTTTTTTTTAATGGCTTCTTTCTTCCTTTCCCTATTCAGTTTCTTCTTCCTTGCGACGGCAGAGAACCTAAAAGCGAGAGGAGGGGTTTGCGATGCTGTTCCGATGAGATAGAATGATGGATGAGGATTGTATGCGCGGTCGGTCGGCAGGTTGAAAGGGCAGAGAGAGCCAAGTCAGAAAGACAAGGAGCGACAGGCGCAGACAGCTCGAGGTGAGGTTGGAAGGTTTGTAAACGGAAAGAGAGGTAAGAGAGAAAGGTGAGGTAAGGCAGGCGAGGCAGAGCAGGCGCAAAGGCGGGTAAAGTAATGTAAAAAGGATAGGCAAGGCCCAGGTTGGCGGTGGAGTGGCAGGAGAGGGATTGTGCCAAAGATGTAAGAAACCAAGAGAAGAAAGAGGCGCTACTGCGTGAGGTAGAAGTATCCGTACCTTTGACGAGTGCCCCGTACCGCCTCTACCGTACCGTACCGTACCTTACTCCGTATCTAGCTACCTTGCTGTGTACTTGTAGACAGTAGACCACCTTGGACCTTGGACCATGGGACCAGCATCCGTACTCTGGGAACTTGGGACCTTGGGACTTGGATGGGCATGGAGCGGTGCGGTGCGGTCGGTACGGGGGGTAAGGGTAGGGGAAGGGAAGGGGAAGGGAAGGGAGGGAAAAGGGAAAGGGAAGGGGAGGTACCGCAGCATGGTACCCTCTCATCCACTTTCTGGGACGAAAGTGCCAGGGAAGACGCGGTACAGGTACCCATGTCCATGTCCCAAGGATCTCATGGATCCCACCCAAGGTCCCAAGGTCCCAAAGGTCTCAAGAGTCAAGCCAGGGAAAAAAGGCGTGCGCTGAAGTGTGGACACTGGGACACTGCCCTGGGATGGGAACCAAGAGGGTAGGGCAGGTACGTACTGCATGTATCGTGTACATGGGGTGCCAGCCTCGAGTCTCCTCTCCCAGGTACGTATCTTTCCACCCTTTGCGTGTGAGATGGGTGTGGCTCACCTTCCCCTTCCCCCTTCTTCCACCCCTCTCCCGGCCCAGGGGTGTGTGTGTGGTGGAGGAACAATACCTGATGGATTGATGAAGAGAGCATGGGAACAGGATGGCGGAAGGGCACCCAACAGCAGGGCCACAACAGTAGTGTAGTAGCGGAAGCAGAGAGAGACAGCGGCAGGGCAGATATGCGGACACTCACACAACCTGCAAACTCACACTGTCTCTCTTGCTCTCTCATCTCGCTCACCTCACTTACTCACTCACTCATTCTGACCCTATGCTTACTCTTATTTGCTTTTGCGCTTCCTCCCACATACTCACTCACACACATCTCACATCTCACAACCACTGACCTACTATTGAGATAATGCTGCGTATGCCAGACGGTATAGCGAGGTACGAAAAGACCCCGCACCTATGCTCTTCAAATGCCCACACGCCGGATACGCCAGACGACCTGGCGGATGCTGAAGTGTGGTGAGGCAAAGGCAGTGTAAGGCAAGGAAGCGTGCCGCACCGTAACCTCCTCGACAGTCCCGTTGCCGCTGCGCAGGGAATCGGACGGCATGCGCGTCGAATCTGAGTAACGTCGCTCAGATGGCCAAAACCTGGTGTTGGGGGGCGAAGTAATTTTTTTCTTTGTCTTTTCTTCTTGGGTCTTTTTTTTGGTGTGCCTTCACTCTCTTGGCCCCTCAAGGTGTTGTTTGGTAGTGAGGTTGGCGATAGTCAAAGGACGACTGTAGGCACTGGACTCGATTTCTTCCTTGACTGATGTTGCGGACCATAAAGGGTCTCTTAGGAACTTTGGATGGTAAGTAGGGTACTCGGAGACCATATGACACGAAGACCTTGAGGTACCGACCGCGAGGAGCCACATCAAAGTTGCAGCCTTATTGCCGGTCGCTTGTTGTCTATTCGAGATTGAGTTGCAGTGCTCCTGTTTTGTCCTGTTCTCATGTCTTGGTCCAGCGTGCGGTGTGCAATAAACACGGGCGGTTGTATGCGAGATGGAGGTAAAATGGCAGTCGTTCCATGATACTACTCCTGGATGCAACCTTGGCCACTTCACCCGGGGAGTTTGCCTCTACTGGAGTTAGGCAGCGCACTGTCGAAGATGGGATGAGATATTGGTAGGGAATAGTACGGCTGAGTGACGGCGATAGCTGGAGAGGAGAGAGGGGAATCATCCTGAAGCAACCACCCTCAGACAAAAGGCACGCTGTCCGGGCAGGGCTCAGAACACGCAGGGTGTAGAAGATGTAGGCCCGGGTCCGGGTCCGGGCCCAGGTTCAGGTACGAGGCAAACAGGGTGCCAAACCTCGGGTACCTTGGAAGACGGCAGTGTGCGGTGCGGGTGCGGATAGGTGGTTAGATGATGGGATCTGGATGGAAGGGTTGGTAATGCGGCTTGGGGTGCAGTAAGGTAAGGTAGATGATGTCTGAAGAACTTCCGCTGATGGTGGCGATGACGACAGTATCCATACCTGGGTGTAGCAGTCCTGAACATGGAGAGGATGAAGACGGCCGCGAAGAGAATCAATCTCTTGGCCAGCAGAAAGGTAAGGTATATCAAAGAGTGTGAGCGTCTGCAACAAAACTTGTCGGCGCGCAAGACAAATGGTCACCTGGTACCAGTGAGATGCAATTGACCACGACATTCTCTTCTTGTTCCTGGTCCTACTCCTTGCTCCTCCTCCTCCTGGTGCCTTTGCATTTCTTACCTTGTCGCTGCTGCTCCTATTTTGCTAACCCGACAGCCCTTGCGCCATTCTACCTATACCTGCAAGCTGCACCAGATGGGAATGGGATGGGAATCTGCTGTCACTCACTCCTACCGCACACACACACACACATATACACCCAGGTACCAAGACAGACAGACACACACACACACACACCCCTCCCCATGGCTCTCGCTCTCTGTCTCTCTTTCTCTCTCTCTCTCTCTCATCATCGCACTGCTTCCGCCCTCCCTCTGCCCCCCCTTTCACCCGTCTCTTGCTCGCCGTATGTACTGCGCATGTGCTCCAGGTTCTAGTTTCCGTACATACACCCCCTGCTCCCACCACACATTCAGAGTGTGGATGGCGCAAAGTGGACCCGAGCGGGAATGGCACAGCGGACGGATCATGTCGCACCGCCCAATGGGTGACTTTATCGTGGGCGGGAGTATCCCCTCCCTTCCCCTTAGGTCCCCTTCTTCTACCTAGGGGCCGTGGTCTTGCTCCAACACCGGCGCCGCCTCCAGCTGGGGAGCTGCCTGCCTTTAGTTCCCCGTTACCAGGTACGTACTGAGAGCCCGTAGTAAGATATTGTCGGTAAAATGATGGATTTTTTTTTGCAGCACCACCTACGCCGTACTGTGCAGTTACGGATACGATACCCTGCCATCATCCACCGCCTCCAAGAGCCCACACCATGCCGCCCATTTGCAGAAATTAACATGTTAGCAGACAAAAAGAAGGGAGAGGAGGAGGAGGAGGAGGAAGAAAGGGAAAAAAACCACGCAAGGACCCGACAATTGGAGGGCAGAAGCTGAGCTGCCACCACTACTACTACCACTACCACTACTACCACCACCACAAACCCTCCTACCAAAGTCAGAAAGTCAAGATACCAAGGTGCAAGGCAAGACAAGACGAAAGGTACCGCCGGCGGGGTGGAAAGAAAACGGCCGGGCATTAGGCCCTTTTCCCTCTCCCTTCTCGCCTGCCGACAACAAGCCAACCCATCGAGGTAACGTCAGCTACACAACACCGGCTTAACTCGACACTAGTGCGTGCAGCTAGGTATCTAGACTTGAACAAGTCCAGCTGGCCCTCCTCGGCGTTAGCCAACCAGACCAAGATTTCGAGACTCGGCTTCTGTTCTGCTCTGGGCTCTTTGCTCGCTTCACCTGTATCTGTTTCAGTGTCTTTTCCGTCCGAGGGCGAAATAATCACCTTTTTCCAGACGTAGGACGGCACGTTACAACGCTGGAGGCAAACAAAACGGCCCGAGAAGAAAATTTCTTGGTTCCTCATTGAGCCCGGCTGTAGTGTCCCAAGGGATGGGTGCTCTGCCCCAAACACACAGTTCAGCGTGTTCTGTCCCATGTCACCCCAGATCTCCAATGCCCATGTGAAGCCCAAAAAAAACTAAAACACCCCCCCCCCCCCAAAAAAAAAAAACTTCCAAAGCTGTACAATGGCAAACAACGAGGCGAGTCTTGGGATAAGTGCGTAATCGATTCTCAGCGACTCCTGATATGGGCAGCTTTTCTGTCTTAACCTGTCTTCTTTGGGGTAGGTATGCTGCCATGCCAAATTCGCAAAATAGTCCTCTGCAGCTTTCCCTCGCCAGTCGCAACATCTCAATAAATATCCAGCCAAGAAGCCGAAACAGGCACTGGCAAAATCATACAAGACCACCGAAGATGGTTGCATAGGTAGGAGAGATAGAGGAGAGTACGGCATGGTTGAACAGAGAGGTACGGTGAGACAAAGAGAAAGTGGCACAAAAACAAGAAGAGTCCCTCGTCTCTCCAAACCCAACAGCCATTTTGTTTGCCCACTGGTGGTGGGAAATACTTCTGAGCCATGACGGTTATTGCGGGCCCTCGCCGTCAATGCTATCACTTGGGTACCCGAGAAAAGGACGGATGGCGCTCCGCCCCCCGCCCCCCTTCTTCCTCCTTCGTCATACCTAGCATGGCTCCGGCTCGCGCCGGATCGTTGAATTCGGATGACCTCGTGACAAAGAAGGAGCGCAGTCTGGGGTTCCGGCAAAAAACGTATCAAGAGTAACAGAACAAAGGATCGGCTGCGTACCTGCGGCCGGCGGCTCGTACTGGGACCGCAGGCCCAGGTCTTCGTGGCTTGGAAGATCAATTAGCACAAGAAGGTACTCCGTAAGGGTCCGTCGAATTGGCCGCTCTGGTGATTCAGATTCGTTGCCGCGAGTCTGTTGTCACTTCACTCTGAAGTAATGCTCCGTCGCCCAGGGCCTAAAACTTCGGGTGTTGTCCGAGTTAGACCGTGTGCTCTGTCCGTCATGGGTGGGCAGATGGTCAGAGGGTGGTCAAAACGGGGAGATATTTTTGCAAGGAGCCATCTCGAAAAACAGCGTACAAGCATGTATTATTGAAATCGGGCTTGGTGTATCCGTATGCAATGGCAAACTGGCACTCCGTGTCGCGAAGGCGGGTTCCGTTGTATCTATGTTGCTGAAAGCCTTTTCCTATCCAGGTCGCTGATAGTAGTACAGCAGGCTGTGCCTCGTCTGGGCAGCCACTGTTGGTGCACGCTGTGGGATGGAATCGCCTTTCGTCACATATCGAACAAGGGGCCGTAGCCTCGAGGACTCTGATAGATAGGCAGAACAAACAGTGCAGTGGCTCAGAGTGTCGAATTTCTCTGCTTCAAGAACATCAACTGGGTTACCATTTTCGAATGTCGTAACTCCATTTGTTCATTCGCATGCCCCTTACTTCCTTTGGCTTAACTGTAGTCCAGGTTGACTCGTACAGCCCTCCCTCGGTAGCTCGCGCCCCCAGTTCTGGGTCTGCCCTATTGGCGGCTGGCAGTACAGGGTATCTTAGGTACGGCCCTCGCCGGTGTTGTCCGTGGGCCGGCGACGTGGAAGAAAGTGGTGGAAGATGTGGAGTACCGCACCAAACAGGGAAAACGTGCGCCTTGGCTTGACTGGCCGCGTCTAATCCCGTGTCTGAACCCACCAGCCCGGGCGGCGGTCGCAGATCTGGCCGCAGGCAAGGCGAGCAGTGTGTGTGTGTGTGTGTGTGTGTGTGTGTGCGGATATTTTGGCTTGCTGTTTGAAGACCAGCCACGACTACTCAAGGGGAGGATACAGCAGCACCTCGGATACCGATCCTGGCCGAAGAAGCTGCCCAAAATCAGTCGCTGGCTGCTGCTGTGTGCGCCATTGTCTGACACCTGCGGTGCCTCCGCCACCCCTACCCTGCCTGCCTGCTTGGAACTGGGAGTCAGCATCATCCGAGAGTACCTCATTCGTACATTCATCTTGGCTTCAGATGAAATGCAAATGATCTGTTTCATGCCCTCAAAGACGAGAAACTGCCCTACTACATATATTGTGGAGCTGTGATGGTTGTCTTAAGTCGAAATGACAAGGTGCGACGAAATCTTCTGCGCGACATTGAATCTAGGGTGTTGTTCTGTGGAGAGGACACGAGGGTTGGAATGCCAGTCCACGCATCCCATCTGTTGCCTTGGTAGGGTCTCTGTTCCTACCAAGCAAATTAGATCCTGGTGTCTTGTATTTCTAGGAGGTGTCTCAGCGCGGGACGCTCCTCTCGCCTCGTCTAAGTCTTTGTGATGCTCGATCTCTGTACGCCCACGCAGTAAAAACCTCTGACGCAACAGTCTTAGCCTGGCTGAGGGCTGTTTGTCACCAGCTACTGCACTTGCAGTGGGCGTGAAATGAGTCTGTATACGTAGCGTGGGCTCAATACTGAGCCGCAGTGGCCACGCATTTTGCTAGACTGACGGCAAGTATGACCGGACCGAGCTTAAGGAATCACGTAGCCGTACTTAAAGGTCGAGGAGACTAGGTTGAGCGGAAATGCCAGGCTAAGTCAGTCCAGTCATAAAGCAGAACAGCTGCCCAACTCTCACGGGTTTCGCGGGAGGACCGCAGCACACGCGCGGACGGGCAAACCTTGGCATGCCCGCGTTTCTCCGTGTTGCGGATCTTGCCGTGGAACGCCGACGGGAGGCGAGCTTCTGGGTGCCGTAGCCGGGGTCTCGTTGCCTCGAAGCCCGTGAACTCCGTCGCAGTAGAGTGTACGAATGATAACGGCGGTGCGGAGGCAAAGGCACAGGGCAAACCTGGGAGGAACCCAGGGGAGCTCTAATTTTGTGCAATAAAAAAGAACCCAGTTTGATGCAAAGTCGACTGGGCATCCCAATTTCGGGTACGATCATACGAACGCGTTGAGTCGCGTCTCAAGGCACGGCCCAGCTGACGTTGGAAGACCGGATCCAGTGGGATGGGCCTGGAGGACGCGGGTCGCGATGTTGCGGTTGGGGTGATGGTATTCTGCATCCGTAGAGAGTCAGAGACTGATTGAGATGTGAATATGCAGACGCGATGACCCCAACAACACCGTTGTTGCGCAGACGTATCCGTGGCTGATTGTGATCGGTACGTATACAAGGGGACTGCAATGTCGAGTAGGGTAGGTACTGAGTCTCCGTACGGGTACCACCACCACAGCAGCAGCAGCAGCAGCACTGGTAACAAATCCCTGCCTGGCTGCTAGCTGCGTGAGCCTGCGTCACAGCGCTTCGTGGTCCTGTGATGTCTTCTCCCTGCGCCTCGCCGCTCCATGCTTATTTGTGGGCAGCAACGGAATAGATCAACCAACGGGTCTCGATCGGAACGGACCCCCGTCCACTCAGGTGGGCTGAGACGCTGAGGAATCCATGTGTAAGGTGGTATGCATCCTGGGCTTCTTCTGCCAAACGAATGGCAGCTAGCGCTCTACGACAAGTGAACTGTGAGCGTAGTGGTATGCCAGGCTCCCGAAACCCCAAAACCACTCAAACCATCATGCCCTTGTCGGCATCATCAACTCCACAGTAACCCGGGCGGGAAATCTGCGGTAATCGGGTTTCACATATACCAGACGGCGTATTTTATCGAGTCCTTTATCAACGAATGACTGAGAATTAAGCCGACCAGGAGTGCGATGAGGTGGGCTAGGATGACCGTTCGACGCCCAAAATTCCTATAGCAAAAAGTTGTTGAGTTGTAGCAAAATCGAGTCTAGGGTGCTGAACTCGCTCTGCCAGACTGCGTCGTCGCTTCGGCCGTGAACGGCTGATGCCTACCTTATCTTTCGGCAGGTCGCGCGATGGCCCGCGTTCGGCTGTAGGAGCCAAACAGAAACCGTTGCACTCGATCTGTTCCTCTCGTCAGGGGCGTTGTTGATAATCATACTCTTTTGTATGGCTCATGATTACCTAGGGAAAGAAACGGCAAGCTTCAGTAGGCCTCGGCGTGGTGTCTGATTCAATAGTGCGAGGTGCCCAAACTGAGCCGGAAGAAGCAATTTCTGGCCAAAGACGCCAAGGCTGAAAGAAGAATAGCTGGAGTTCGATGATCGATGATGCCAGGAGGAAGGTAAAAAGAAAGAAGAAAGAAAAAAAAAAAAGGATACCGCGCCATTCGCGATCGAATACCTTCTGGTTATTTTCCAGAGTCAAGCGACCGAGCGATGTCGCAAATCTCTAATGTCCTTTGCCTTGGTCCGAGATAGCCAATTTGCGACTGTTGTGAGATTCTCAAAAGGGTGGGCCCCAATTTGCGTGTACCAGTGATCGCTTGTCCTTATCCTGTCCAAGGGTCACTGTGCAACGGCGCAAATGTACTTGCCAACGTGAATGATCGATAGTCGTTTTCAATTTCGTACTGTGCTTCGTCCAAAGGGGAGAATTTCTTCTTCTCAGCCTGGTGGATCGCTTGACAGAGTCGTCTGTTGTCAGAACTTGTTGCTACTTGGGAGACAAATGCCATGCCTCCACACCAATGACGATAATCAGCGAGCTGTTGGCCGAACTTGCACAGTACAACTCGATAGATGAATCGGCGGATCATGTTCGCATCAAGACCGTGCCCTTGGCAGAACTCTCTTCTTTGACTGTTCTCGTTGGCTGACGCTGTCGTAATGATGCGCGTTTGTCGTCGACCTTGTCTTCAGCTCTCGGCTGGCTGTTTCTTTGGATTGATCATGCCCGTTTGGCCCACTGCTCTGCAAGCTTCCGGCGAATATCATGGCAATGGATGATGATGGGCCGGTCAGCAGGTTCGCCCCTCAGTAAGCCCAGGGGGTAATGGGCCAGGGCACCCATCCTGCACCACTGAGATGCCGCCCGGGTACCCTCTCCTGAGCTCTTGTCTGGGCCCGTGTTGCTTCCAGGCCGCGTGCGGATGGAGCCATGCCCCCCCTGGTGCCTGCCAGCCCCCCTGCTCTGTCTGCCCTGGCTGGTGTGCCCGCACTTGTAGTCGCTCTTCCGGGCTGGTCGGTGACCCAGAACTGGGACGGGAACTGGCGGTAATCTGACAGCGAAAGCTGTTCCTACCCCAAGTCCTGGTGGAGCAGGTATAGAGTGTGTGGAACCGCGCGGCCGACGTGGAATGGCCCAAAGGCTCCCAGGATAACGGGCTCTTGGAAACACTTGCGCCACTGGTAAGGGAACGGCTCTGAGCTCCCCAACTAGGCTCACTGTCTTGCTCGCCCGAAATCTCCAGTTTGCTCTGAATCACGTCGAACATGGGCCAATGAAGTGCGTTACCAGGAAGCAAGCAGGCTAAATGAGGCATTAGCATTGGCATCATGTTCAAATATAGCCCTGGCGTGCGCGGACTCACCACATGGTTTTATAAATTGTCGAGGAATGGCAGCCAGCCTGTGTATCATTCCGCACTTCAAAGCGATCTCCTAGAGATCGAAATCTCTGTTATTTTGACGGGCAGGTAGGAAATCTGGACAGGACGGGCACGGCATGTCTGGCGTACCTGCTAGCCGAGTTGCTGCTACGAACGTCCGCCCACTTCCATTCTTCTCGTCCTGCTCGCTCGATCGGTCTGTTAACCTCGGCGGCAAGTCGCGAAACGAATCGAAGAGGTGGATATGTCGATTGTGGACAACCACAAAGAAGACGGCGAGCCGCGATAGCTGTGGCTCGATGTTCCCAAAGGGTATATTGCTGTGCCTCGTGGTTGCGCACAGTGGCATTTGATGTTTGGGGGCTAGCGAGTGCGTCCACCAGTGTCCCGTCCCATCACATCCGAGCCAACCCACAGGTGATCCCCTGCTGTTCCGTCACAGTTGGTGTGGTTGGTAAAGTTGAAGTTAAAGGCGGTCGGGATACCCTGTCTGTTTGTCCATGTGTCTGAACAGATGAAATCGATGCGACGCTAAAGTGTGTAAAGTGTGTGACGGTGTGACCTGGTGCATGATACACAGCGGGGTTGAGGCCTTGAAGGGGTGATACGTGAAGCAGATGGGACGGGCGGGAACTCCCACAGCGATGCCATGTGCTTGTGGCCAGCCATGCACCATGTCGGCCGAGAGCGCGTCAACGGTTTTGGCACTTGGCTTTGATATGCAAGGATCAGCCTGGTCCGTCGGGCCCTGCTGACTTGTGAGGTTTTGACGATATTATAGCCACGATAGAAGGCGGGGCGGGGCATGGTGCTGGTGTGCGAGAGAAATTGGCCAAACCCACGACACTTGTTAAGTACCAATCAAGAAGGCGAGCAACAGCTATCTAGTACTGAGGTGAGATGAGTTTCGGCGGTCAGATATCGTCGTAGTGGAAGAGAAAGCGTTGACATTGGAGATGGATGCGAGATATTAGTTCTCCCCGACACATGCGCAAGGCATCTCTAGACTGAGTCGGAGGAGAAGTAGGACGGGTACCTTGGCAGACTCGGACAAGAAAGACCTGGGGAGGTGCTTGCCCTCCTCTGGTATCGACCAACTAGAAGGAGCCTTGGAGTTGCCTTCTTATTTACCTTCCTTCGTCCTCGGATAGGTTGGTGCCTTCCATGATGAGCCTGCCTGTGAATCGAAATTGAATGCGGCGGGTCTCCTCTTCATTGCCAGATCTCGGGAAGGGAAGGAACACGGCGGATGAGTCGGTGCATGCTCAACGTGCCTGCCTAAAGTACCCGCCTACCTTATCCAAGAAAGAAGAATGAGATACGGATACATAACGTAAGTACCTTACTATCCGTCAGGACCTTCAAGTTTGGGTTATCCCAGGAACTCGGAGAGGATCATCATCAAATCAAACAGGCGCGGGCGCATGGCTAGTCGGAGTATTCCGTGGCCGGAACGGTGAATAGAAGACAAGGTAAGGCAAGGCAGGTAAGGTAGGTGTGCATCACTGGGCACATACCTTGGTAGACATTGATGCCATCCTCGCCTTCCAAATAAGCGACTTGGATAGCGCGATCGCCTCAATTAAGGTAAGGTACCACGAATCATGAAACTCTTTTCCTCATCGTGAGCTCCTTCCGTTCATCGATTAAGGCGCACAACAAGGGAAGGTAGGAGGACAAGGCAAAGCCGTTGGTACCTGCCCAGATACCGGGCGCAGGCGTGACAGGTAGGGTACCTTCCCATAGAACTGGGTGAAGGCGGGAGCGTCGCGTCGATCGGGGTTCTTTGCCCGTCTTCTTCGGAGCTGGCCCCGTCTTCTCAGCGAATAGGCGATTGGGCAGTGGTGAAATTTGCCTTGGGATCCCTGTTTCCCTTTCCTTTTTTTTTTCCTTTTCTCCCCCCTTCCCTCCTTCCGTTTTCCCCCCTACACGTTTTGGTGAGAGAGATCCCTCCCACCCTCCTCTGAGGCTCCTTCTTCCATCTTCCCCTCCCCCTCCTCCACATTAGATCACGTCGCTTTAACTTTCTCAGCTTCTTTTCCATCATCCTCCAGGGCTCTCATCGGGCCATCCTCATCGCCGCCCGTTGTGTCCAGTCCCTGTCTCAACGGTTGTTCCAGCCTTCCAGGGAATCCTTACTCATCTTGCTTTTCCCACCTCAAGGTCCTGCCCTGCGTCATTGCATCTAGATCGGTGAGCATCGATATTCTCTTCCCCTCTAACACCATTTCTTTGGCACTGGGCTGCGCCATTCCTCCGATCCCCCTCCACACTCACTTCGATCAACCTCAAGGCCATACTCCGGACGACGCTTCTTCGTGCCCCTCAATTTCTCCCTCACTCCGCCCCTCTGCCCCTCCGACAAACGCAAAACTACCACGCGGCCGCGATGCCCCAATTCTGGGTCGACCGAAGCAGCCCCGGTACCACCAATGATTGGGTCTTGCCATTTTACCCCATCTGGAGCTCGGCTGTGACCCATCGACGAGTTATTTGAATGCGAAGCCGACATCCTTGGTCCAACACGCTGTGACAGGGGGGCTCACGAGCTACACTCTCAATTCCGCTGGTCTGCGGGAGCAAATCGGCGCACGTTCTTCCAATCTTCTTTCACCACCCATTCTCGAGTCCTATGTCCTGACCCATCACTCAGCCTGCCCGCAGACCAGCCGCATCAGAAATGGCTTCCTGCTCCGTACCGGCGGTAACACCCTGCCAGTGCCTGCGCGCCATTCGCCAATCATTCGACACTCCTGTCAACCTACCCTGCCATGCCAGGCCAATGTCATGTCTTGCACCCGTTCCGCCGCTATGATTGTGGCGCAACTGTTCAAACTATCGCCTCCGGCGTCATTCTCTTGACGCGAACCGAGCTGATGGAACGCCGACTATCCGTCCGCCAACTACCGGCTAGCAGACCCGCTAAATACGGTCTGATGTTGGGAAGCCTTCACTCTGGCATGACGGGCGACCGACTCGATGCCATCCAGCGCACCAAACCTGCAGCCCACTCACCGCGCACGCCTACGGATAAATTGCCTACCTATTCATCCCATCTGCACGCAACCCAGCACTCTGTCAGAGCCCAGCAGGCACTAGGCCTGGCGTTCTTAACCAACCAAGGTACGGTTTCCAACAGATCTACGATGATCAGACGTGGGCAAGTACTGCTCCTCGGTGGGTTTAAGCATACCCTGCAGCGCGCGCGTGCGAAACAGAACACCCGCCCGTGCCGCCTTCTCCCCCTCACCAAGAGAGTCTCATCCTCTGGGCATGGTTTGATCACGGTCGACAATGACGAACTCGAAGCAGCCGCGCATCCTCCACTACTGGCGGTGCAAACATTCCTGCAACCAATTCCTACCAGTACGAGACGTGAAGATGGTGCGACTGCGTTTCCGACCCCGATTCCAGAGAGCGACGCATCGCGTCAATTGGACAAATATTGGTGAAGAACCTGCCTTTGTTCTCCCGCTACCCACCCACACCTACGGATGATCACTTGACTGATCAACTTGTCCGATGTGCGCCCTGTCGGCTGCCCCAGAGACACAAAGCGATAACGCGACGCCCGTCCACACCCCCACCGGCAACAGCACCAGCAGCTGGATTCGGTCCAGTCCCAGAGGCTTGTGCTGACAGCGCCGTCGTCGGGCCATGGGCGACTAAGGCAGACCCAATCGCCTGTCAGACTTTCTTTTTCCGTTCTTAGCGGTCCATTCTGGCGGGAGGGGCTACCCCCCAGTTCCACCGGGCTCATGGGTTCTTCTTAGGAGCTTGCCGGTACCCACAGTCTTCGTGTACCCGGTACAAACAGATACTTCGTACCGACTTCATGGGTCGGGCAGAGACAGCCCCGCCTCCCTTTGTCTTGCGCAGCTCTCGACGCACCTTAGATCAAGTAGCGTTGATGAATCGCGCCCGTCAGATCTTTCTATCCGCTGCCTCCAGCACTCCGGTTTCAAATCAATTCATGGCAGGCTGCACTGGCTTGATGGACAGTTCCGATGATGTACCGCCAGGGGATCCCGAGGACTGGCGAGCAAGCGAGAGAGCGGACGAGATTGGGGTTCACTTGGTCCTACCCCTAGTCACGCTAACGCAAAGGGAACCGGGGGCTTGCGCAAGGACCGGGGGCTGCCGACCATGCAACGCCGCGCCGCCCGCTCCCTAAAGGATACTCCCGTTTCTGCCGTTTCGTCGTACATATCCCGCATATCCATCACCTTCGCCAATACGGATGGCCCTACGGCAATCTATCTCACCGCGAGACCAATGCCTTCATGTCTGTGCACCACCTCTGGGCAGGTTGCAGAACTACAAAGGGAGGTCTGCTTGATGCAGTAATACGTCCTCTGCTGGGATGCACTTGCATCTGCTCCTAACCCAGTTCGATTACAGCTGCAGCGTCATGTCATTCCTGTGTGGCGCGAGACCAGGTATCTCACCAACACGCATGGTACAACCCTCAGCTTGCCTGTTCGGTCTGAAAATCCGCTTACAGCCAATATTCCAAGATTTTGTCCTGCCTCGTTTGGTTTACGCTCCCAACACGGAGCATCACCACGGCGATTTCGGCCTGCAGGGACCGATGACTATTACCAGACTGACCGTTGAATGACATAGCAGGGGTTCCACGCCGTCGCATGTAGAATGAATTCCAACACTGGCGGTTCAATCGCCAGCCCACGATGGTGGTCTATTGACTAATCAGCATTGGCATTGCATCAGACACCGCCTCAAAATATTCCGAGAAGGTTTGGAACTTCCTGTTGTTCAATTCCTCGTCGCTGGTGACTTAGGTTAGATGTATGGTTTTCTCCAACATGATGTGGGACAACCTTCCCACACCTTCTCTTGATACGGATGGCATTGCTGGTCCAGATGCTTCCACAGATTCCGAATTGACCACTGTCTCGCCAGTACGCCGTACACCGTATCGCATCAACCTTCATCGGCCCCTTTCACGCCTTTAAACCTTATAATTGCCAGAACCAAGTTGAAAACGTGATGGAAGAGGAATTGAAAAAAGAGCTTAACAGCGAATACCTTGCTGACTTTCTTTGCCAGCAGCAAACATTCGCCTCGCTTCAGACGTTTCACGAACAGTTCATCTGATTGTCGTACTTTTACATCGAAGTGGGCATGGAAATGGTCAGGAAAGCTACAAGTGTGGCTTAATTACACAATTTTGCCGCCTTTAAACGAATCTGCAAAGACACCCATCGGCTCACCAAGCGGATCGCATCACAGCACAGTGACATCGTGCATGTAACACAACCAATATCAACACTAATGAGCGGATTCATAGTATCTGGAAATCAACAAGAGATCGATCAGCCGCGCAGTACATTGCACACCGCTACGTACGAGTCTCTCAATTCCAGCTAAACGCCATGCTCTCAACTCAAACCGCCTGACAACTCGAACTTTGATAATCCATACAAGACGGGTGATGACGTCTGCCTCCCTAGGCCCCAGTGGTCGACTTTGACGACGCAAACCCAAGACTACGCGGCGACGGGGGCGTGCCGCCGGGTTTCGCCAGTCACGTTGACGGACAAAGACAGGGGTTTATCCACACGTGAAGTGTATAATCAGGCTCACCCATCTCAAGCCTGCAATCTGTATTCAAGTCTCAAGAATTGGACAGTGCTAAGTTTTGCCTTAAGTTTTTGGTTCCATCTTGCTTACTTGTAATTGCAGTTCTCCCAAACCACATCCGAACTTCATTTTCTTCCACGGACTGCTTGAGCCTGATCCAAGCGCCATGCCCCATTGCGCTCGTCCATTTCCCGACAACGACATGGATCTATGATCATTACCAGGAACGGTTTTATTGTCGCTCTTTCCGCGACTTTGCTCGGTCTCACTTGGCGGTGTGAGGCCCAGGCAGCAAGCAAATAGTGCAAGTACTTCGCCGCTCTTGAAGAGAGACGGAAGAAAAATCTCAGCCGACAAGTTTTTTGAATAGCTCGTTGCGGCAACATTAGTCTGTGCCGTGGTGAGGCATCCCAAGTGGGACGAAAAGCACCATTTTGAGAGGCGGGCCGGGCCTCGTGGAGCCGTATCGCGTAACTCGCAGTGTCGGGGAAGATGATGGCAGCGCTCGAGGATAGCTTCCGCCGTCTGCACGCCCTGAGATTCGCTTGAAAGCGACAGTGTGGCAGGAGATGGTCCCATGTTAGCCACCAGCCCAACTTTGTTGACGCTCGTGCCAGACAAGGTAAGGGAGGCGTGCTGCTAGCTTGTCAGTCCGGTTATCTCAACGGCCTGGTTCACTATTCGACAACCAATACGTCCTGCATGTCAGCCAAATGCACGCTTGCCGCCGGCTGGCCCGCGTTCACCGAATAAGTCCACCTTTTCCCCCCCGGGTCTGGCGTTTTGACCTTGCGTTTGGTTGGGCTAGCGAGACGTAATGTTGTTGATGATGCATACCTTTCCCAGGCCGGGTTCACCTTGAGATATTGGGCGAAATGAAAGCGTACATTTTTCGCAACAAAGACTCTGTCAACGTAGGTTCAAAGCCATGTCTGGCGAGGACCGGTGGGTAATTGTCGCACCCTGACGATACCCAAGATACCTCAAAAACGTCACGACAAATCTCTATTAACAGACCGACCAAGCGGCAGCCAACCAACCAATCGATGGGCTGACCTTGGGAGTCTCTCAGCCCAGGATTCGCTCTTTTTTTTCGTTCGTTTTTCTTACCCTGTCTACCAAAGCACCTACCTGGCTTCTGGTACCGGTACTTGTCTGGCGAGGAGGAGCATCCAAGCGACTGGGCCGCTATCAACAGGCAATCGTGTTTTGGTGGCGCTAGGGGTGTTCTCTGATTGTCAAAGGTCATTGGACAGATCGGGGGACATTGGGTTTAGGGACATCACGTGACGAAAAGCGTATGCATGCAGCCGTCGTTCCCGCGACGTTCCCCATTTTTTACCTTCGATTCCCTTGCTCAGGCTCTCCACGGCCCGCCACGACAACCACCCTCCCATTGACACACTCCTTTTCCAGAGACCTTGACCGGACCAAACCACGCAAACCTCAACTCACTTCACCTCCCAATCCATTGTGTGTGGAACCTCTACCCCTACGGTGCATCCTCAACCATTTCGATATTCGTGCCTCACACAACCACCCCCTCCCCCCCTTTTCTCTTTACCTTACCTACGACCTTGCCTACCCCTTCATTCCGTCCGAAAAGAAAACCTCGAGGCACACCCGCTGGGCCGATCGAGCCTCGTCGCTTGATCTAGCATCACGGACCTCCTTTCAATACAGCACATGGAAACTTTCCATCCTGGTCCAAATGACCTCCTAGACCTTGACAGCTCTCTTGATACCTGGTCCCTGCCCCAGCTTTGTCGGCTTGACTTTTGGACACATTAACGGTGACTAGCGGTGCAATAATGGATGGGGGCCATTGTGACCATTTTTTACCCCCTCTCACCGGAGAGGTCGGTGGCAAGGCAGACGACCGACTTGGAGACCGAGGGTGGGATTGGAAGCAAGGGGTTTCTGTCCCTGTGCTTTGTACGCCCCGAGATTAATCAAAGACATTCCCATTATGCGGCGAAAGCATATTACACCTGTAGACACTCAAACTAGCGCCTGCGATGGACGCGGCGACGACGACGACGTGTCATGTACTCCCACCTCAGCATCTAACTGAATCTTGATGGCGCGTGGGGAACAATCCGATCAGCTCTTCTACCGAGACAAGCCGCCCGTTCTTAATCACTTCCAGTGGGGATGGGCGGCGACAAGGAATAATAGCACCAAGACTCTGCACAGTTCGCTCTGCACCAGAGACCATAATGGGAGGAGAAGTGACTTGTCTACACAGTGCGTCCACATATTTCTGCACATGCTGCGACACTGCCGCAGCCCGCCAACCGGGCAAACCTGGCAAAGCAGCCCAGATCGAATTAGCAGGGAGATTTGACCAGGTCGAGTCAAGCGACAAGCCCATGGGGTGGAAATTGCGAACAGCAATAGACTGAGGCTCCGATCGACGGATATCAGACGAAGAAAGAGGTCAAAACCATGGACGAGGGCTGGACGGCCGAATGCGGTGAAAGCTTCATGATTGAGACGCGTCTTCGAGGAATGAGCTCGAACAGGGCTGTTGCCAGCAAGATTCCGGCCGCCAACCCTCCACCATCAAAAGCTTCGTACGGCCACTACCCTCGCCGGACGCGCCCCCCCCCCCCCCCCCCCCCCCCCCCCCCCAGCCCCCCCCCCCCCCCCCCGCCCCCCCCGAAACACCCCCCCCCCCCCCCCTCCGCCCCACCCCCCCCCCCCCCCCGCGGCCCGCCCCCCCCCCCCCCCCCAAAGTGCGCCGCCAGAGCTACTCGCCCAGTTAGCCGTGCTGGCAATCCGAATAGCAGCACGTCAGGCGTGCCAGCGATGCCACTGATCGATGGCCCAGGGCCAGGCTACGTGGGCTGGCAGGATGCCAGAAGCTACAACGTCCATGACCATCGCCATGCAGACAGATGCATAGCTGCTGCTTATGGATGCCCAGCCACATCAACTGTTTCTCACGGGACCTCGGCCACATGAGACATGGCAGCCCAAAGGCGAGACCATAGGCTAGGATCCATGCCGGATGGACAAGTGACGGTTGCTCAACAGACTTCCCGCTGCGCATGTAGTCCGTCCCCAGCCCTTCCTTGTATCGTCGTTCGGTACGTAAATGAAGCAGACTGGGCCAGCTCCGCGTTCAACGGCGGCGATTGTACGCTGCGGCACACCATGGATGAGGTACAGGACGCGCCGCACTAAGGTCGTGCAAGCTAACCAGCCCGTCCGCGGGACGTGTAGTGTATCGAACGGACTGCAATCAGCTTCGGCCCACCAGCGATCCGAATGAAAACTTTCCTAGCTTTTCTTGAAGCATGACCTTTCCCTGATTTTGTGTCATACTGTCTCGTTACAAAAGACTGCCCTGCAAGAAGCCTGGTGTGAGGGCACTCGAATACCTCCATCGGCCGACTGAACACACTGATGGATGGGCGCCGATTCGAGGAACGTGGCAGCGTCTCAAGCACGCTACTGCACGAGATTCACGTTGCCCACTGAGGACTACACTGCCTATGAGCGTGCTGACTGCTGAGTGAGCGGCACACCAGCTACATGAGATGGTGGGGAGAGCTATATGGAGCCCTCGAGCCCAGAGGAGGGCAACGAGGATGGGCTGGCTAAGAGAAGCAGGCATATGGATGGTTGGGGCAGGAAAGGCACACTGCACCACAGCGGCAAAGCAGCGGTGAGCAGAATATCTGACCTGCTCATTGCGGTGTTGGCACTGACCTACGCTCCGTCCTGGGCGGCTCGGGTCCGTTCATCCCGTACTCGACCCGCCCGTTGTCACTCGCCATCACGTCAATGTATTGACGTTCAGCCGAGTTTCGGATCGGAGAAGGAAGAGAGATTTCTTTCTTTCTTGGTCGGTCTTCTCGCTGACCTTCGCTCTCGATGGGATCGCGCTCGACTACAGTCTACGGGATGCAGCTCATGGGTCCAGGCGACGATTCTGTCATGCGATACCGTGAGTGTTGTTGGTCGACAAACGAGGCGGAGATGACCTGTCAGATCTGACAGCTGCGTCGTCGCAAGCCACGCGGCGGCAGCGGCGGCGGCCGGTGGTACGAATGAACTCGGATACTATGGGAAGCAGATGGGAGCACGTATCAATCAACAACCCATACGGATACCGAGCACGATTCCGGGATGCACACATCGTGGGCGGCTTCTTTCTAGGGGTCCCTGACTCTGACTCTTCAATGCGTGCAATCCATCTCAGCAAGGCAGCCGAAACGGCAAAAAGCAAGCGCTTGACGAGGGGTCGTGAGGGTTTCTTTCTTTGGTCTGACTTTCTGACAGTATGGTAGGAGTGGCAGTGAGGGGTTGCTTCTTCTTGCTTTCTTTCTTTCCTTTTCAATTTAGTTTTTTTTTATTTACCATTTTCTCTTCGCCTAGGTAGTCATACGGGCGACCAGCTCCTCACCCACCATCTCACCTCGTCCGCCGTCTCCCCGCTTGCTCACCACCCATCACCAAAACAAATTGACATGTCTTCCCCCGGCTCGCGTCCGTGGCCGCCGATACCTTGCAGCAGAGTTGCAGACCAACAAGAAAAGTTCGCCCCATCCCCATCTGCGGTAGCCGTCCATTGGCGATGCATCATGTACAGTACTTTGGTTCTTTTTGGCTCATCTACCTAGGCTTGCACCACCCATCGGCGCCCAGCCCCCAGGCAGCCGGGCATACATACAATGGACCACGTCGCCCACCCCTTCTTCGACTGGGACATTCAAGACGGGCTCCCAGGCTATCCAGGCTCCTGATGGCGCTCTTTCGGGCCAGCTGCATGACAGGTAGCACCCAAGGGGGTGGGCTCGAACCACTTAGACGGCCTCCGAAGATATTCGTGCGACCTTGAGACCTTTGGTGCTGCTGCATGGCCGCTTGGGCCCGTCACCGCCCGCATGGTGCTGCAGTCACAAGCTGCGGACCGATGCGGCCTGCAGCAGGATCGGCGTCGATCCGCTTGTTTTTTTACCACCAGAAAAACCTGTCCACGGCACCTGTCTGTTTCCCAACACCCGGCGGTGGCCCCCCGTCAGCCCCGGTCGGTCACACACCGTCAAGTCGACCCCGTCACGGTCACGCCCCGTGTTGTCCTCCCCCGGCATTTGCCTCTCGGGCTTCATTCAGAGTTTGTCTTTGCTTTTTCAATCCTTGTTTGGTGGCTGGATACACATTTATTTTTCGCGCTGCCGTATCATGTACGGAGCAGGTACTGTGGTATGAACGACTCGTCGGTGCAAGGGAACACAAACCTCTTCAGGCATGCTTACGGCCGGTTCTGGCTTGTCAAGGCAGCTCTGGTCACTCTGCGTTGCTTGGAGTGCCGGGTCATGTACCTGTCTGTATGACTCGACGGCGGCAGGTAACGCCGCTCGGGTTGCGAAGCGATGGGTGTTGGTGTGTGTGTGAGTGTGCATGTGCGTGCCCACGCACCATGAACTCACGGAGGACGGAAGAGGAAAATGCTAGTCAAGCCAGGTCCTGCCGTCCAACCTGCCACGCTTGCAGTGGGTATTTCGGACGGGCATCCCATTCCATCCCCCCCTCTCTTTTCCTTGCCGGGCCCGCGGCTGTAACCTGATTTGGGCCCCGGGTGCGTCTTCGCATCCCGCCCGAGGTCGCTTCGGTGGGCTACGAAAGGCGCGCCGCGAAAAGCGGCGGCCCCAGGGTTTCGGCCATGATCCATGGTGGATTTGCCAATGGATGTGCGGCGTGCCATGGCTACCAGCGCTGACTCCTGACTCCTGGGAGCGAGCCCTTGGAAGTTGGAAGGGGGGATAATGAGGCAGCCGCAGACGTGCAGGATGACGGTCTCCTTCTTTGCTCCTCCACAAGGTAAGGAATTCGTAAAGGTAGGGGACTCCAATTGTCAAGGTTCCACCAGGCCAACCCCCCTCTTCCCTCCTCCGGTTCCCCGAGAGACCTGGAGCGCCGCGGCCACGACCTTCTTGTCCAGACGCGGTGCGAGGTAAGGTAGGTAGGTACCCTTCAAGTTCGCTAGGAAGACAAGGCAAGGCCGGGTCGGGATGGGAAGGAAGAGGAAGGGGGGAACGGGACAGATCTCTATTAGTTCGCCGTTCTTCGTTTACCACGCTGACCCCCTTCCCCCCTCCGCCTTGGATTCAGGTACTTTGACCGAACTCCTGCCAGAACCGGACGGGGGAGAAGGAATCCACAACGCTGAACCTACCCCGAAATTCTCCACGCCCCCGTGCCATCCCGGTCTCCCACATATCAAGTCACGTGATATAGAGGCTGCTGTTAAGCTGTTGAAAGCGGGGGACTTTCCTTGCCTTACCTAAGGCCATGAATCTCAGGCGTCACTTCACCCTTCCTCGCTGCCCGCCCGTGCCGGGTACGAATACCTTACTCCATGGTCCGCAGTACTGTGTACGGAGGACGGATAGGTGAATTCTCGTAGCGGTGCCTCCACAATTATCCCATTCCCCGCTCCGGCAGGTACTCCTTTTCGTGTATGGTTCCTTCCATCATTCCAATCGGGGACTAACCTCCCGGCGCCTTTATGTGGACTGGAGGTTTTTTTTTTTCCCCCCATCGCCGAGTTTCTTAACCCTACCTTAGATAGTACAGGCACTGGACCCCTTCCCGCCCGGATCATTTCCGCGGACCTGGACCTACCAGTACAGCTACGAAGTGACCGAAAACTCTCCGTGCGAAAAAGGATTAAAAGCAACGTCGAGTGGTTGCAGCATCCAGCGAGCTACGGTACACGTTGAAGATCAAGAAACTCTGACATATTGGTCTTGCTATTTTTTGCAACTCACTTTGTGACGGCTGAGTAAGGCACTTGCAGACGAGTAGCCCTTGTATCTTCCTTTTCTTTCTCTTTTCTCCTCCAATCAAAAGACGAAGAAGTCCAAAGAGGGGTTGACAAACGAAAAGAAGACGACATTTCCGAACCCCCCAAGATATCGATAACCCTGGACGTATACCAAGTACCTCCTCACCTTACACACCGAGACGACAGCTCGAGATTTGCCCGGGGAAATTACCGCCGACGTTCCATTCACCGAATATATCCCCGTCGACAACCATGGCTGAGAATGATACTGCCAGCGCCAACAAGGCTTACTTCAAGTACGTATACATTCCTACATTTTCACACGTCGTTCCCCCACATTTCCTTGATGGGGGATGGAGGAACGCCGTAACGGGATGATACCGAGTAACATCCAATTTTGTCCGCGTTCATACCGTCCCCGGGTTCCCCGATGTACACACATCACAAACACAACCCGCCTTTCGAGACTCTTACAATTTGAGGTGTACTTGCCTCAACCCCCTCCCCCTTTTCCGAATATCATTCGACCCTGACAGAATTCCTCGTTCAAACTTCTTCCTCCTTTTCTGAACTGCATTTTCGCATTGGGACATATTCAAGCAAATAGAAGTCAAAAGGAGAGGCCCATAGAGTTGACTTACACGAACTAACTCCTTGAGTAGTAAGCTGGCTGCCGAGTACGACACGAAGTACGAAAAGACTATTCTGCAGCTTGAAAAGGAGATTCGCAAGCGCAAGGACTTCATCGGCGCAGATTGGGTGATTGACGACGACGATGATGATGACAGCGAGAGCGAGAGCGCAGCACAGTTGATGGCGGCGAACGGTCGGTCGGTGAGACTTCTTGATTACGCTTGTGGAACGGGTTTGATATCGAGGGTGAGTTGCTTTGTGACTTTTTTCTCCTATCGTATTTTCTTCTTCTTTTGAAGACGATATGATTATGTTCTAATTACCTGTTACCTTTGTCATGGTTGCGAGTAGCATATCACTTCCCTCGTGCAAGTACTCGAGAGAGCATGGATGAGATCTTCTCCCGTCCGTCACGCAAGTTTGTTTGCTCTTGTTTCAGATGTCGTGTACACCAAATTCGTGTTACTTATTTTCTTTGTCATTTACACAACATTTGTGCGACTCCTCGTTGGTCCTTTCTACTTTGAGGGCTCCAGCACACTTTAGCATGTAGAAACGGAGACTCGGGCTGTAGACTTACATCCGGGACAAAGTTGACTGACACCAAAAATAACAACAGGCCCTCGCGCAGCTCACGACGCATTGCGTCGGCATAGACATTTCGGAAAACATGGTGGCGGCCTACAACGCCCGGGCCGAGAACCAGGTACGTTGGAAAGATGATTCTGATTTCTGTTTGGTTCAAATTGGTGGCAGTCAAAACAAGGCGACAGAGAGAGATGAGTCCAAAATAGCTCGGTTTCCCCATTCAGACTTCCGCTTGTCGTTCTCTACATACACACCTTCTCCTCATCTTCGTCACCTCACTTTTGGCCAGATAGTTCTGCCCACACACGACGTACAGACCGGGCATCCAAGTGGAAAGTGACAAAAGAGAGAGGGAGAGCTGGGAGGGCGGAGGGAGAGTTTCGAAGGAAAGGTATGTGTACACGCACACCAGACACCAGACACCAGACGCAAAAAAAAAGACGACACCATGGGGCCAGCCGCTCCCAGACTCGGCTCGACTCCAGACAAGAGCAAGAAAAAGATGGGATCGTTCGCCTCACACGGTTACCTGCTCACGGACTCGTTTCGGCAAAAGAAGAGAGCACAGACAATCTTCTTGGGAAGTGGAAAGGAAGAGGGCTTGAAAAGGCTTGTCGTGGCTGTGTGTAGAGCAAGGTCAAGGGAAAGAAAGTCAGAAACCCTTGTCTGAGCGTTTTCCGTCGTCACGTTCACGATGAAATGACGGACGGGTCCGTTCTCTCCACGAGTCACTTTCTTCTCTCTCTTTCTCTTTGCTCCCGCTCTCACACACACACACACACCTCATGTTGGTCTCATCTCAGCCCTGCTGACCTTCAGACCTTTTCGATCCCCGCCATGACATGACGTGGACATTTGCCCAAACTAAAAACTCTCGCACTCTCTTTTGGCGGTTTTCGATCCGACCCCTCCCCCCCTTTCTCTCCTCTGGACAGCCTTACCTAGATCTCTCTCTCTCTCTCTCACCTCACCTCACCTCACCCTACCCACCCCTCCCTGAATCTCACAAGAATCTCATCTCATCCCATCTTTTTGATGGCAAAGTTGCCGTCTCGGGCGAGCACACCCGCACTTCTAGCCCTCCTACCCCTCCCCCTTCTCCCTTCTTCCTCCGAGTGCTCGGCCGTAGACCGAACCAAGCCTGTGCGGGCGGCTCGGCGCACGGGGAAGATATTGCGTGACCAGAAACCCCCCCCCCCCCCCCCCCCCCCCCTCCCCCCTGAGAACACCAGGCCGGGGGGGGGGGGGGCGGGGGGAACGGGAAAAAATTGCGGGACCACAACCCCCCCCCCCCCCCCTGGCGCAAAGATGCCGCAAAAGTACATGAGACATGATACATGGACGACATGAAGGAGAAAAGACGGGAAAGGCCGAAAAAAAAAAAAAAAGGCGGATAGAAGCGGCAAGCTTCAGCTGAACCCGGTGACTGACATGACCACCCACACCCCCCTCAGGGCCTCACCACCGACGAAATGCACGCCTACCAAGGCAACCTCACGGACCCTTCCGACCCGGCCCCCGCGGCGTTCGCTTCCGACGACGGCCGCTTCCGCGACTTTGACGTTGCCGGTGTCGGTCTCGGGTTCCACCACTTTGAGGACCCGGAGCTCTCGGCCCGCCGGCTGGTGGAGAGGCTGAGGCCGGGCGGGGTTTTCATCATTCTCGATTTCCTGCCGCACGAGAAGGTGGATCACGCGTTGCCTGCTGCGCATACGGTTATGCACCACGGGTTTTCGGAGGAGAGGATGAGGAGTATCTTTGAGCGGGCTGGTGCGGGCGGGGATTTCAGGATGGAGGAGCTTGGGAGCGGTGTTGTTTTTGGGGGGCATGGGCATGGACATGGAGACGGTCATGGACACGGGCATGAGGGGCGTGATCATGGACATGGCTCGGGACAGGGGATGAAGAGGCGGGTGTTCTTGGCGCGGGGAACAAAGGCGTAGGTAGATATCAGTGAGCTAAAGATATCATGAATCTTCAGATTTGGAACTCAGGCTTGAACCTCTTTGGTTGAAGACGAGCGGAACACACTCGGAAAGACCATGCCTCCCGTTCTACCGAAACTCCCGTACCTACTATTCCTTATCAATGATATCAACAGCAAAAGCACCTCCAAGCAGAATAGCAGGTTCCTCGATGCTGTGGTGCTCGTAACTAACGTAGTTTCTCACATGTCAGCCTTGTCTCGCTCTACATGGGGATACACTCTTTCCATCGAACAAGAAGAAAAAAACTCACCTCAAAGTACCCACGCCACCGGCCTCGAGCAGGAACGCCGGTCCGTCCTGCAGCGTCTTGCCGGCCCAGCGCATGGCAAAGGCGCGGAGGATGTGGCCGTGGGCGACGACCAGGACGTCTCCGTTGGGCGCGTCCTTGTTGCCGATGACGGGGCTGTGCCACCTGTCGCGGATGTCTTTGATCAGGCGGTCCAGACGTTCCGTCACGTCTTGGGGGCTCCTGTGTGGGGGTTAGCAAGATTTTCTCAATGTTTGAAATTTCCGTTGGCTATTTATGAGACTTCACGCAACGTCGATCGATGTTTTGTTTGCGTCTCCTTGAAGCAGCACTTATCACCGGTCTCAACCGCATCGTCGACCAGATCACCGACGACGCTTTTCTGGAAGACAGCACGACCTGACAGGCATGGAAGGAGAGAGAAAGGCATCGGAGGTGGAAGAGAAAGACTTACTCGCCGCCTGGGCAGCCGTCGCGCCAAATGTCCCAGTTCTCAGAAAGGCCCTGCTCCTTGCGGATGCGGCGGATCTCGGGCGATGTGATGCCCTCGTAGTCGCCATAGTCCCATTCGCGAATGTCCTCGGTGACCTCGACGCAGGCGTTGCAGTGCGGGCCGTTGCCCTCGATCTCGCCGTGTTTCTTCCAGGGGAGATTGTCGTTGATGCCGAGGTTCAGCAGTTCAAAGGTGCGCTGGGCACGTTTGCGAGGGGAGACGTAACTGATTTGTCTTTAGCAGCAGCTCGTGGCCAAGGGGATTGAGATTGAGGCCAATGATGAGTGCTAGGTGACATCACTTGATGTACCTGGTTGTGCTTGAGAGCAAGTCTGGACCCCTGAGGCGGCAGACCTCATTATCCTCCTCACGTGGCACAACAATTGCACGCAACTCACATGTGAGAGATTCGTTTGGGTACAATGAGGCGGTCACTCCCAACCAGGGCGCGGCCGGTGGCGCGCACACGCTTCTCGCCGTTGGCTGTGAGCGGGATATCGGTGCTGCCGGTATGCCGGCCGTTCAGAGACCATTGCGTCTCGCCGTGGCGGATGACAAAGGCACGGGGAGTCGTCATGGCGGCGGGTGCAACAAATCCGTCTCGCGGAAGCCGATTTGACAGCGGATGTAACCTCACAACGGAGTTGGTGTGTAGGAAATATTATGCGATCTCTATCGATGTCTAAGTGTTCTTCGGGGGTCTAATGGAGGGCGGCGCAGGGACGCCCCCGAGTCAGCTTTTGGTCCTGTCACACACAGCAGCAGCGAGATCTTGACGTGGGTATATGTGCTTGTGACGTTTAATGCATGAAGAGAGCCCGGAGTCTGATGTGAAATGGTGGGTTGTGAATGAGAGCAACTTGAGACGGATGGGCTTGACGTGACGCTTCTGCTTTTGCCCAGTTTGGCTTTCCAGCCGTCCCGCTCTTCCCGTCTGCGCACTTCATCTCAATTCTGTGCATAGCCTTTTGAGATCTCGTGTAAACCGTAACGGCGCTTGCCATGACCCTTGACACAGTTCACCAACGGTTTGTTTTCTGCAAGTGCCAACTCTGGCCGATGAACTCATCCACGGCTCAGGCCAAGACCCAACGACATCTGCCAACTCGAGCCAAGGCCAGGCGGGGAAGGTAGTGCTGAGTCTCTTTCTTCAAAATCTTTGCCGTATCGTGTGTCCAATGTTTTTTCTGATCTCCCCGACAATGACAAGCGAGAAGACAAGCCTTTTGTCCCCTCTTACTGGCCCCTGTATCGCATCTTCTCCTAGCCCCAGCATCGGCCATCGTAACGGTAGCACTTCGTCGCTTCTCGCGTGCACTTGCCGCAGGCTGCGTCCCATCTCCCCCCGTCGTCATCCGGCTTTGTGACATCTGTCTGGTTTTATGCGGTCCAGGATAGGTCAGGATGGGGGACGGGTGGGAAATGCGAGAAAGGCTTTTTGGGCTTGTAGCAGAGAGGGAGATCCTCAGTAGTAGTGCGCCATGAGAAAGGTTTCAGCAAGGGCTGTAACGAGCAGGGGGTCGCACCAGAACCCCACACGGGCAAGAACTACCTGGTCGTGATCACTTGCTCGAAAGTGAATGTTGCGGCGACTGTTGCGGCGACTTTCCGTTGCTCGACGGGGAGTGAATAGGCGAGAAAAGAGGATAGGGGATCCGATAAGGGTCGTGGCGAATGTGAGGTCAGAAGACCCGTGGAAAGGAGGGTGGACGTTGCTCTGGTGTACGGAGTAGGGATGAATGGTGAGGGGAAGGAGAAGAGGATGGAGAAAGAGAGATGCTCTCACGAAGTTTGTTTCAACGCACCAGTAGAAGTGGGAATGAATAAGCCCTTTGAGGATGCCCTGGGCAGCGAAAAAAAGGCAGTTGGGGGTCCTAGGTGGTTCTTACTCGACGTCTCTTATCTCTTAATCCTTCTTGCTCGCTTCGGAAGTTCGTAATGGCGCAATCGACAAAAAGGTCAATGTCTCCCACACACTCTTTGCTCCTTTGACTGCCTTTTTGACTATTTGGCAACTCCTCTCTCTATCTCAAGGGTTGCACGAACTCGCCTCTTATGAGTCTTTTTTCCTTCCCTCTTAACCTGATTGAATTATCCGCTCAACATCAGTAATGACCCGAAGCGACGACGTCACGCCAACCCCGGCTCTGACAGGACGATTACTAAGAGCGCTGGGGCTCCCTTCGTCTCCTCTTCTTCCTCGGCGCCAACGTCTGCAGCGGGGCCTCCACCGCCGCGGCGTTTCCACTTCCGGCTGGACTGCCACCGAGACTACCGACAACGACACCGACACCACCGACGCGAACGCGCTGGAGCTCATCGCTTGGCCGTACTCTGCTGCGCCCGCCGCCCCCGCCACAGACCCGTCAACGCCGAGATCATCGACGCCGACGACAAGCGATTGCTGTTCTCCTAGTTGCGATTGCGATTACGACCCCTTTGGGACAACGACCCGGCGGCGGCATTCTCCATCAACGCCACTCGAGAGACCACAAGGCCACAGGCGAGCTAACTCTCTCGACTCAACGACCACCACTTCTTCAAACGATTCTTCCTCTTCATCCTTCTCATCGGTATCTTCGCGCTCCCGTTGGAATCCGTTCTCTTCCACGACCGACGAATTGACCACCGTGAACCGACGAGTCAACGGCGTGGACGATAAAAGGAGTAAAAAATCGAGAGAAGTCTGGAGGGAATATTGGTGAAGCGCCTTTGCAGACAAAGCAACAGGGAACCAAAGTTTCGTTGTAAAAAAGGAGGGGGAGAAAAAATTAAAGCAAAGACTGGGGAAATATGAGTGGCTTCACCAAATTTCGCGCTGGCCTTACAGCCGCCGGCTGCGCTGCCATCATTTTCACAGGCGCCACCTATGGCGCAGGCTTGAAGACACAAAAGGAATGGAAAGAGGTGAGAGAGCATTTCTGATAGAGGAAGTCGCATCGCGAGAAACTAACGAATTCTTTCTCGTCAGGAACGACAAAGCTTCTGGGAGTCTCCATACGATGAGCAAATTTCTCTCCTGCAGGGCCAGCGTGGCCGGTTAGTTACAGAGCGCCGGAAGTGGGAAAGAAAGCTCGAGTATCTGGATGAGAGGATAAAAGAGGGGGAGGCTAAGAAGCCAGAAGGATAACAACGGACGCTATGAAAAGTCTGATATGGTGATGTTCTGTCATGGTCAACAAGAGTTCGGCCTCAAGCAGTAGGCACATCCAAGTAGGATAAGGAATGCTGCTTCCAATGGATCCGCGAAGACCGAGGCAAAAGACCACGATCAGCGGCGGCGCAAAAGCGACCAGCCCACGCGTAGAGCCTTGTGGGCGCCATGGGTAATTTTGTATAGTAAAGTCGATCAAAGGCCATTCGCAAGCTGTACACAAAAGTAAAGAATAATTGTAGCGATCACCACTTTGCGTAATGAACGGCATCCATTACAATCATCAATCCGTCTATCTATGCCCTACAGTGATTTATCCCTTTGTCACCGGCTCGTTTTGCATGCCTCCCATAACCTCGTTATCGCTCGAAAACGCCAAGTCGATGCCCTTAAGAGCTCTGAGCAGCTGGATTTTCCTACTCGGTCTTGCCTTCATTATCAATCGTCGGAAGAGGGATGGCCCGGTAGAGACAGATGAGGGCAGAGTGCGACTCGCCACCGCCCGCCAAGGCATCAATCTTGTCAGGGGTAACCTCGGACACCTTGTCGTCATTGAACCACCACCAGTTGCCGTCCTCCTCGCCCTTCTTACCGGTCTTGGGGTCGACAGGGGCCGTCTTCTTGACATAGGCAGTGTAGTGACCGCTATCGGCACTTGCTCCCTGGTGAGTGACGACGCCACGCAGCTCGTAGATTCCGGACTGGTTGGCGCCTTCGTCCTTGGCCAGGTCCTGGTTCACCAGAGCATAGAGCTCCTTCTTGGCAACAGTGAGAGCCGCATCTTTCTCGGCTTCGACCTCAGCGTCAGTCTTGAAAGTCTCAGTCATCTCTGTATCGCCATCAGAAGTGCTGGCCACGGGCTTTCCAGCTCTCTCGGCCTTCTTATCGTTGGCCTTTTCCAAAGCTGTCTTGCCCTCGGGACCTCCAGACGCTCCAGCAACATCGCCTCGGTCGACAGGGTTGATCTTGCGTCTCTTGCGAGCACGCTCAATATCCTCTTCGTCTTTGCGAATCTCGCGAACCTTGTCGCGCACGGGAATAAGAGCCTTCTTGAGCTCATCGGTGCAGAACTCAACAACGTCAAGTTCGTGGGGGAAAGTGACCTTGCGCATGATCTTGGCCTTCTTCTGCACTTCTCGCTTCCAGAAGAATCGCACAAAATGGACCGTAAGATACTTGGGGAGCCGTGAAATTTGCGACTTCTTCGTGTAAGTCGTGTCTCTATCCAGAACGGAAGACTTCTTCTCCAACTTCTCAGTCAAAGCAGCCATAATACCGTCGCGAAGGTGGTTGATTGAGGCATCAATGTGGCAGTTGAGCTTGAGGAAAGATTCGCTTGACTTGACAGGCTCCTCTCCACCATCCCTGGCAGCCTGCTCATCGGCCTCGAGAGTTGACTGAAGCTCTCCAGCCATGTACCTGTCGATAAACGAAGAACCCTCAGACTCGGAGAGCTTCTGCTTCAACTGGGAAATGATCTGAGACCAGGCCTCCTCGGCATCCTGCTGAGCATATCCGGCTCCGGTCTTGGACTTCTCGGCGAATTGGGGGTAGACCATGCGGAGTGTACTCAGGAAAGTCAGTGGGGGAATGGCGCCCTGTGTTTCCGACATGTTCTTGTAGAGATCGGTAAGTTGAGTGGCGATATCAGTCGAAGTGAGGCCAAAGCTACTGCCGGCACCACCGCTACCCGACTTGTGCGTGGTCAGGGCCGTCTGGAGTTCGGGGATCGATCGGAGGGTCTGGAGGGTCGAGTTAAGGTAGCAGGTGTTGCCCAGATTGGTGAGGCCTGCGGGAGTGGCTCCTTCCTGCTGGGCTGCTTCGGCTTCGGTCATGTCCTCAACAAACTTGACTGCTTCCTTGGGTCGAGCGAGATCTGCGTTCTCGCCGGAAGGCTTGCCCATCATCATCAGTGTGGCGCCGGCCTTAAGGCCGAACTTGGCCATGTCGTCGTCATCCTTGACTTGCCTGCCCTTGACAAGAATCTTTTGTCGCTCGGGTTCAACGCCGGTCAGACTGTAGAGCTGATACTTGAAGGTTTCGCCATTGGACGAGGTATCGATCTCGACTTGGTACTTTGTGCCTTGGTGGCTAACGGTGACTATTTGACAAGTCAGACAACGGCAGGCAACGCATTGATTGAGTAATGCTGCTTACCGGGTATTGACGCCATCGTTGTGTTTGTGATTCAGGTCGGCCTTGCTGCAAAATTCTGGAGTAGCTGGTTTTTTCAGTGTGTTGAGATTAAAACCTCGTTGCGAAACGGGCTGTTGAAGGACAAGTTTGTTGAAGGCACCAGGTGGGTTGCGTCAGTACCTACCAAGCATGGAACCTTGAGGTGGGCGGGCAGTAAGGGAGGCAAGGTAGTACAAAGGACTACACGGCAAGATAGCGGGGAAGCGGTGTACCTGCAGGGTCCGTTTCAGCTACCGATTCGCTTATGGCAATATGCCCTTGTCCCTAGCACTTCCGCATGCATTCGACAGTCTTCCAGCATCTTCGGGGAAAGGAGGTTCGAGATAACCTGCAAAGCTTATGGTATTTGTGTCATGTACTTCAATGCTAGAAAATGGAATAGTTGCCCTCATCATCATAGTCTATCTGGGAGCATAAAATAATGTGCCTAGTTCCTGGGTCCGTTATTATTCGGTTTTCGAAATGGTCAAGCGTACATACCGTACCTAGTATGCATGTAAAGGGTACAAGCGGGGGATCGCCACTAAGGAAAGAGCTCCAGGATCACGTGAGGAAGCTTCCGGCTGAATCAGCGAAGTGCGGTGACAGCTACGCATGATGTGGAGCTAAGGTACGGCGGTGCTACCAGCCCCACTACGAAACGTCAGGCTTCCGGCTGAGCCAACCTCACGAGCCCCGCGGTCAAGATCCAACTCCAACCTCTCAGCATCACCAAAGGTTGGACGCGGCCACGTCTCGCCATCATGGTCAGTGAACTCTTGTGGTTGGATGAGCTGTGTCTTTGCTAACAATTGGAAACATAGTCTCAATCACTGCGACCCTATCTCCAAGCCGTCCGGAGCAGTCTGACGTCCGCCCTGACGCTCTCCAATTTCGCTTCCCAGACCGCCGAACGTCACAATGTCCCAGAGATCGAGGCTCAAACATCACCTGAAGTCCTCCTGACGCCCCTAACGATTGCCCGAAACGAAAACGAGCGAGTTCTGATCGAACCGAGTATCAATTCCGTGCGGATATCCATCAAGATCAAGCAGGCCGACGAGATCGAGCACATCCTCGTCCACAAGTTTACTCGTTTCCTGACGCAGAGAGCCGAATCGTTCTTCATCTTGAGAAGAAAGCCAATTAAGGTATGAGATACACATCACGGAAGTGTTTGGCGGAGCTTTCAGGGGCTACAATGCCACGTGGCTTACAACTGGCAACGCGAACGACGACACTGGCTTACTATTGCACTAGGGATACGACATTTCATTCTTGATTACGAACTTCCACACCGAGGAGATGCTGAAGCACAAGCTGGTCGACTTTATTATCCAATTCATGGAGGAGGTTGACAAGGAGATTTCGGAAATGAAGCTCTTCGTATGTCCCCTCACTGTTGATCCTTCTGCCATGGCAGTTTCTGACAGCACACAGTTGAATGCGAGAGCTAGATTCGTTGCCGAATCTTTCTTGACTCCCGTAAGTCATACTCGCTATTGCAGCGCTAACCGGACACAACTAATGCCCCCCTTAGTTCGATTAAAATACCCTATAACAAGCGTCGCGAACGCCAGGAGTTCAGCTTCAAATCTGCACGGCCAGAATCGTGTAGTTGGGACGAGAATCTCGCACCACGTTGAAGTCATGGACCAAAATCATGAGTTGGAGTTGGATGTTGGCTCGAGCGCTCCCGGAAAACCGGGATCCACTATGGTTCCAACCTTGATATTGGTCCGCAAATCCGGGGCCGAGTGGGAACGACGACATGGAGCCTCCATTTTGATAAACAATTACAGTTATGAACACAACTCTCTCTCCAAATCAAGTGTTGCATATCAGTGAGGCGTTTTCTGATGTAACTCTTTCGCTCTGCTTACCTTATGAGAGCGTTGAAGATTGTTGGAACGTCCATCTAAACATTGCGAGACGTGATGTGACGTCGTAGGATACAACGAAGTCGAAGCCATTCTGCGGCGAGAAACAGCTGATAATTGATCTTAAATGCTGAATAACTCTTGCCATCACGACGACCACGACGTTACCCTCTTCATCTTCCTCGCTCTCGTGTGATTGAGTTTATGCTGGTTGTTCAGTGTGGATGGAATCAGTTTACCTGGAGAACCTCTTGGCGCTTTATATCATTCTACCACAACAAGCGTTTTTGCGCATTCAGGCAACCCAACCAAGTCTTGCCATTGTTGTCGTCCTGACTTGTCATACAACTATCGGCCTAATACTCACCTCCACCCCACCATGCTACGATGGAATACACAACCACCTATTCATTCTACTGCCGCCTCGGAGTCCCTCTATGCCCTAAATCAAAAGCCCCTTCTTCCTTCACATCTTCCTCCCTCCTCCCGTACTTCTCTCCACTTCAACTCAAATTTCTCTCCCCCTTCCCACACACCTCATACACTCAATCAACAATTCCTTTCCGCCCCATCACAACAAATACTCTAGGTCTCAAGTACAATATCGTACTCAAGACTCTACAAAGCCTCCAGGTCTGCTGGTTTTATTGACCTACGCGCATCGTCGAGACAACTGAAAATACCCTCAGTTCTTAGCTCTGCCTTGTTTAGGCTACCTGCTTCTCACGATACTCGTTCGGTCTCTGGTAAGCCTTCTCTTTCATTCTTTTCTGTCCCTCGGCCTTCTGCTTGCCGCGACTCTCATTTTCGGAAGCAGCGACCTGGCAGCACTGAGCTTTTTACCTTATTTTGATTGTTCAGCGTCCCACCTCACCCTCATCCTCCCTCCTTCAGCCCCTTCAGGCTTTGCTCGAGAGTGAG